GTGCACGCGCACGCGCGCCCCCTCCCCTCCTTCTGCCACGGGGTCGCACCGCAGCCCCTTACCCGTGCGGCCCGCGTCAGGCTTAAGTCCTTCATGACCTCCTCGAAGGCCGCCGTCTCCTCCGCCTGCTTTTGGTTATGCAGTGCGATCTTTTCGCTAAATTTCCGCGGATTGTTCGAAGTCGCCATCTTCTCGCCGCCGCCGCCGCCGCCGCCGCCGCCGCCGCCGCCGCCGCCGCCACCGCCTCCTCCTCCTCCTCCTCCTCCTCCACTCCTCGCCCCCTCCACTCTGATGCCACCGCGCAGGCGCCGGCCGGGCCCGCGGGCGGAGGTTAGTACGCAGGCGCAACGGCTAGCGTGAGCGAGGCGCAGGCGCGCCTGGGCCGCGCTCATCGCGGGGGCGACAGCGCATGCGCGCGACCGAGTGGCGCCCGAAGCCACAGAAGTGCGGCGAGTATTCAGACGCAGGCGCACTGACATGTCTCCTCGTGCGTTGGACAGCAGCCGCCAAGCTGACCAGCAACGTCCGCTAACAGACTGGAGTCATGGAGCTCCGTGAATCGATGATATGGGAGCACCTGTTACCTCCAATTAGCAGTGATGTAGTGGAACCTGTCTCCCCTCCAAGTAACGACGACGGTGTGGGGTCACCCGACAGCTGGAAACAACTGGATCCAAACTCTCCCACTTCACAAACATGGGGCCAGCACCCTCCCCCAAGAACAGGTACCACCCGGAGGCTGGGCTTGGGCTCAAACCGAGAGAGTTCCAAGAGATCAGTTCAGGGTGTTGCTCATTCCTGCATTCATTTATTCAACCAATATTTCAGTTTGAGAAAGCATTAAGTGTACTCGTGTAGTACAGTCATAGGGGACATAACAAATGACAGTGGTCGTTTCAGATGGAGATAAAAGCGGTTTATAAAATGAAATTAGAGAGGGACCTCCTGGTGGAGCAAGGGGTTAAAGTGCAGCACTATGAAGTTGCCCGCAGCCACTGCAGCACAGGTGACCCACATGGCATGGCAGACCTCTCCTGACCCACCTGCTGCTCCTTAGTGTCTTTCAGTCAGTCCACCTGTCCTGCTCCACGCTCCGTCTCTGGTGGGTCCTCTCTCACACACACCCCCCCCCCACCTCTGGCCTTTACCCAAGTTCTGTATGTATCAATAAATAAATCTTTTTTTAAATAATAAATAAAACTAGAGCTAGGCCAGAAATAGGGAGGGACAACAACCTCTCCTGCAACAACCATTTGAAACATTTAAGTGAGACCTGAACCTTGTAAGCAGCCCCTAACACAGAAAGAGGGCATGGTCTTTAACACCTCTTTCCTTGTCTTCTCATATTTGGCCACTTCCTATTTCTGGATCCTTCAGCCAAAAGACCCAAAGAACCAGGAATAAAGTATTTCATCCTCCTTTTTGCCAATGATTTGGCTTTGCCATGCACTAAAAAAAAGGTCCAGAAATGCCAGCCTGACCCATAGTCTCCCCAATGGTGGAAGCTGATCCAGGGAAGCAAGATGGGTTTGACAACTAGCTATCCCTGCACAAGCAAAAGGATCCCCAACATTAATATAAAGGTTTGTATTTGGGACACTCCTGTAATTTGAGGACATGGTCAAGGAGAGGAGAGACAGCCAAGGGAATGTAAGGCATTTCTAAGTGCACACACTTTTTAACTAGGATGAGAGGTGACAGGAGGGGACTTTAGTGGAGATCACAGGGAAGCACCCATTTTCCAAGCAATTTATTTTTACTGTTTTAAAGATTTATTTTTTTTATTTATGCATACAAGAACTAGGGTGTAGGCCAGAGGTGCAGGGGGTGAGAGGACTCACCAAAGACAGAGTAGGGAGGGAGCAGAACAGGTAGATCCACTGAAATACACTGCTGAGAAAAGCAGTGAGAATAGAGATCTGTTGCACCATGTGGGTCAGCTCCCTGGCTGAGGATCTAACTCATGCCACAGTGACTGGCAATAGCTTGATAGAGCTATTAACTCCTGCCCCACCAGGGAGGCCTTATTAATAGATTTTAAATTGGAGCAACCAAGGTAAAACCCTTCCTTTTCAGATGGTTTTCAGCACTTTTGTCAACTTCTAACCTTTTTGCCTAATAGGTGTCTTTTCCTCCTTTTTGATGTCAATGACCACTGCCCTCAGGGAAGACAATTTCTGAGTTCAGTCAGTAGGTTGTGTTGTACTGATTTCACCATTCCCTCTCCCCATCCCTAAAAGCAGAGATATGCTGTTTCTGCTTCTGGATCTAGCCATGTCAAAAGTCAGAACCCTGCCTTTTCAGGATATGAATCAGTAACTTATTCTCCTAGTTGCTGAAGCCAATTGTCCATATTCTTTCCCTAGCACTGACACTGCAGCTACTAGGAGTCAAGTGTGGGACTAGGTGTACTACACAGGTGGCTTCTAGACCCCACCACTATGTCCTGGGAGTTCACAGAGGAAATAGAGACAGAGCAGGGATGGCAGCTTCCTATAGTAAGAGAAGTGCTGAAAGCAGGACTAGAACTCAGCCCCAACAGCAGAGTTTGGCTTCATATTCTGTACTGGATTTTGTAAGGTTTAAATGAGATTAATATGTCAAGTGCCTGGTTCATAGTGCTCAAAATTTCTGGTTACACTAATCATTTACTTTGCCTGCAATCAGCGGCTTTCTCTGCACTGGAAGATGGAAGAGGAAGATTTTCAGGGTAGCAGGGATTCTGCGGTCACAGAACAGGCCATGTGTACAGGATAGAGGGGAGTGGCCTGCTCTGTTCACCCCCATTCACCCCCACCCTTCTGTAACTCAATCTGTCCTAAACCCTGGTGATGAGTCAGAGGAAGCTGCCAGCCTGCTTGTTGCGCAATGGCCGGATGGTGACCCAAGCCCTCCTCCCACTCCACTGACCCCCCAGTCCCAAGGAGACTAAGGCCAAAGCATCTGGCTACCCAGTCAGAACCCAGCCCTGCTGTTTTCATTTTCCTTCTTCATCAAAGAAAGCTGCTGCCATCCAGTGTGGCCCAGACAGGCTTCTCTGAGTAGCCATGGTCTTTGTAAACCAGAGTAGACCATTCATTTCCCTCATGGCCCCTACCTTGTTAAACTGTCCTGCTCACCAGCCACTGGCCTTCTTGCTATTATATCTATAGATCTTTGTGCTATTCCCTCTGCTTGGACTGCTCTTCCCAGATCTTTCTATGGCTGGCATCTTCTTATCTGTCAGGCTTATCCTTGGAGGCCCTCCCTGAGGACCCTATCAAAAGTGCAGCCGGGGGCGCTCCTTGGTGGCGCAGCGGGTTAAAGTACAGCACTAAGAAGCTAAAGCTACTTCAGCTTGAGTTCAATCCCCGTCCTGGAGGTGACCTGCATGGTGCAGCAGACCTCTCCTGACCCACATACTGCTCCCCTCAGCAATGTACTTGTTGATCTGCCTGTTCTGCTCCCCACTAGGTCGCTGGTGAATCCTCTCACCACCCCTGCACCTCTGGCCTGTATCTCACTTCTGTATGTATGTATGTATACATCTTTAAAAAAAAAAGTACACCTATGTGTCCTTCAACATGGAAACATCCTGCTCTTTGAAGGTAGATGTTTCCAAGGAATAGCCTGCTTCCCTGTAGACTGAGCTGAGTATGTTCACCCTTCCCAGACCCTAGGGGCCAAGTTCCCTGTGTGACACAGGGTTAGACATACTTGAGAAAACAAATATTGAGGGAATAAGTTTCATTTATTCTCTATCCTGTAAAAATTCTGAGCAATTCTGGGCCTCCCTGGTGGCACAGGGGTTTAAGACACACCACTATCAAGTTATCGCCAGCCACTGTGAGGTGAGTTCAATCCCCGGCCAGGGAGATAACACACACGGCACAGCAGACCTCTCCTGTCTCAGTGCTCCCCACTGAAATATACTTCCCTCAGCAGTAGATTTCAGTGGATCCACCTGTTCTCCCCATTCTGCCTCTCATGAATCCACTCACATCCCCCCCAATACCTCTGGCCTACACCCCAGTTCTTGTATGCATAAATAAATCTTTTTTTTAAATTCTGAGCAATTTAGGCCTCATTCCAGACTAGCCTGTGTTCATTCTGTTCCTGAGATCCAGAGCCAAAACAAGACTAGGCACAGAGGAGAGATTAAGAAATATTTGCTGAATTAAATCATTTTCTGCCTGGGGAAACTCCTGCTCATTCTTCAAAACCCACTACAAATGTCTCCTCATCCACAGAGTCCATCCTGATCCTGAGGAAGAGCTGTTCCTCACTCTGGACTCACCCAGTTCTATGTTTTCCTATACCTAGCCCAGACCTGAAAGGGCTAGGAGTGTGTCTACTTGTGAATACCTTCATTTTTGGTATTGTTAAGGGGAAGGATGTCCTAAAGGAACTCTGCAGAGTCTTATGGACTCCACCCCTTACTCCAGTTTTCCAGACCCTACCCTCTACTCCAGTGATTGGAAACTACAACTCCCAGTAGTACCAGGGAGAGAACTGCGAGGACCCAAGGGTGGAGCTAGCAGGAATTCTGGGACATTTGGGAGATAAATAGGGCATGATTGCGTCTCTGGCTCTCTCACTTTCTCACTCAGGAAACAGCTCTCCAGACAGTGGGACTAGATGTTTTCAGTCAGCAGAGCTGGTAAGGTATTCCAGTTACTTTGTATCCTGTTCTCTTTCCCTGGGTTGTTTACTATTCCTTTCCCCTTTTGTAAATAAACCCGTTATTTACCCTTTTGTGTGTACCTGCAGTATAACTGAATTGTGAGTGCGCTGGTGAGGTCCCACAGACAGGCGACCCAGTCCACTCTGGGCTACCCTGTAACAATATCAGAGCACTTCCAAGTGAGCCAAAAGGTGCGTTCTTACAAGCCACTTTTTTCTCCTCTGCTCACAGCTCTGCCTGCCTCTCAGTATTCCCTGGTGGCTGCCCCACATCATCTCCCACACCCACCCTTCCTCCTTTTCTCATATTTGCCAGTCTTGCTGCACCTATCACAAGTCCTTGACACAGGACTGTCCTCCCCTGCATCCAGGTCATAGCACTCCAACATAAAGCTAAATATGAACTAAAAACCTAAACTCTGGAACCTCCCTGGTGGCTCAGGGGTTAAAGTCTCAGCACTGTCAAGCTATGGTCAGACACTGCAGCTTGAGTTTGATCCCACACATGACTCAGCAGACCTCTCCTAGCTCAC